TCCTTCATAAACATAGGCTTCATCTGTGACCTTAGAGTCTCTGGGAACTCGGTGTCATGGCAGTAAATGCCTCTGTTTGACTGGTGTTGAAAGAGTTAAGAAAGTTAAAAATATGCATTTTGTATTGGGTGATACATGTCAGTTTGATTCATGTATTGTATAGGGCCATATATCATGGAGTTTTTGTTCATCTGTTTAATGTTTATCATTCTGGTCTAATTGCTGGAGCTCATGCTGACATGCTTTCAATACAGAGTACCAAAGGCAAAACACACCTTGATTTATTGCAGATCTATTTATGGAGGGCTTATCAAAGTAATACTAGTCAAACATGTTGAAGTACAAAAGACATAAATCACAACAGGTGATTAAGTAATGTTAAATCAAGTGTAGTGGCAAAATGGCTAGTCTACTTCATTCCAGAATCTTCCATAAGAATCTTACTTGTCACTTCTTCGCTTGGCAAAGTAATCAAGTATTTGAATGCCAGTTTCCCTAAATAGCTGCTATTAAGATATTCACACTCACATCTGCCTATCCATTGGGCAAACAGAATGTTTCAATATGTATGATTGTGTGTGACTACTGTTAACTGTTAGTATATCTGGGGGAATTATAATTGTATGTGGGCAGTAGGGTAGCCTAGCGGTTCAAAAGTTTGCTCGTCACGCGGAAGACCCAGGTTCAAATCCCCACATGGGTATAATGCCAGTGTATGAAATAAGGCCTGTCCGACCGCCCGAGACTGTCTAGATTTCTGACGGACGGTCTAAATTTACAGCTAGCCAGCCCGATGGTCTGGTAATATTTTTAGATGTTCCATACATCTGAGTAAATTCACCATATTTGGTCTGGTTAAATCCATCTTGGGCTGGTAACATTTTGAAGTTACCGGCCCTGATGTCTGGCTGGACTTATGGCTTATTTCATATACTGATAATGCATGGTGTTCCCTGCTGTGATATTGCTGAAATATTGCTAAAATTGGCGTATAAAACCATATTCACTTTAATAGTATGTCTTAGCACCATGACTGAAGGGAGAGAGTTGGATTTAGTGAAGAATACTTGTCACGTGACTGAGTGTCAGCTTCATGCTGCAGGCTAGCCTGAAGTGACGCAGGTCTTGGGCACTTACTACTTTGATAAAACCCATGAGGTTGAGCACATCAAATGTAAAAACAGATAGTGAAACTGATGACTGGAAGTATCATGTGCCTTAGTCTGTCGTACAGACCCTGAAGCAAATATATCCAAGAAAGCCAACACAAGTCTAGAAAATGTGGCAAGTCTACATTTCCTCAGCTTCTGAAAATGAAGAAAGTCTCAGGGCTCCTCTTCATTATATTTTATTTTTGTTTAACTATGAACTTTTTTTCAGTAAAATACGTTCATTTCAGAGACTAGTTGTTAGTCTACATGTGCCTACTCCCTCCCCATTACCAGGATGACTAACCTCTCACTGATAACAGTAATTGATGTTGTTTCCTGTTGTATCAATTAAGCAATGATGTCAAAGGCTTTTCCAGGAGGTGAGGTGACATGGGGTTTAACGTCGTACTTGAGAATATTTCACTCAAATGATGACGCGTGCATGTGTGTGTATGTGTATGTGCGTCTGCTTGTACTAGCCCAGTGAGTGAGTTTAGTTTTATGCCGCTTTTAGCAATATTCCAGCAACATCACGGCAGGGGACACCAGAAATGGGCTTCACACATTGTACCCATATGGGGAATCGAACCCGGTTCTTTGGCATGACGAGCGAACGCTTTAACCACTAGGCTACCCCACCGCTCCTGTACTAGTCCAGACTTAAGCTGGTTTTATAGTGCTAGCTCACTGAGATATCATGCCGCAGTTAAGCATGAATACCCCACTCAGACACAGTATACTGACTCCCAGCCGACCAGTCCTTGTTGTACCCATAAATGCCGAGCACCAGGCAGAGACCAACAAGTACCACATTTTAACTTCTTTTGGTATGACGCGGCCGGGGATTGAACCCACGAACTTCCGCTCTCCGGGCGGACTCTCTAACCACTACACCACGGAGGCGGTCACTTTTCCAGGAAAGGAATCATTTTTGAATAGACTCTGACTACTTTAGTCCAATGCTGCCCATCAAAGTGTCATCAGAAATTATATTCTATCATCATGAGTTCATTTTAGTTGGGATATATCCTCAGATGAGTATCAAACACAGAAATTGTCAACGTCAGTACTAATTCACAAACTGCATTTTCCATGAACATGAGAACACAAACACATTATAGTTTGGCATCAGACACAACCTACTATATTTGTCATATTAGCACATTTGACATTCTCACAGACCAAAGGGTAGAACTCAGATTATTACTGTTTGAGCATGATAATAAACTCAACATTTTACAATATGTATTTTCTTTTACACATTACAGACCTTCCCTAGAGAAAACACAGCAGTGTCAAAGGTATTCACAGCTGCCTAGTGGCTGTTATCAAACAAGTTTAGTTTCATGCACTTGGTCTGATCTTGTTCATGGTTTGAAGTACCCCTTCAATTTTGTAAGTGATTTATGGCAAATAGGCAGTGTTCACGAATAGCATCTGACCCTCTGACAAATCCGGCAGATTTGCCAACGGTCCAACAGAAGTCTACAAACCGCCAGCCCCAGTGTCTGACTGTAAATTTCACAATGACTTTGACTGAAGTTGTTATATGTGACATGTGACACTTGTTTGCTGTTTATAAATCTTATGTTTGTTAATAATTTCAATGCCAATTATAAGAAATGTTAAATCTGAAATGTGTGTCTAATTATATTCTATGGGTCCTGTGAATTTTCAATGGGTCAAACAGACATCTGAAACTTACAGGACCCAATGTCCTGTTACTTTAAAACACCTTTCGTGAACACTTCAAATAGGGCACAATATTTCCATTGAAAACCTTGGGTACTCATTGATTTTAGTTGAACGTTAGATAGAAGGTATGTCATTGGCTAGCTGTAATAATTGTCATACATTTTCCCTCCATGTAAAGACATTACTGCCAGTAGTGTAAACTCCTGAAGATTAAAAATGCATATTATTGCCCAAAATCCTGCACCACACTGTGGTCTATATCTAGTTTATGTAAACAAAACCAATCTATATTTTAATACAGTAAGTTTAGCCAGCTCTAAACAACTGTAGGTAAACAATTCTTCAGGAGAGAAATGTATTGTGTTGTAAAAGATTTCATAGACCATATGTTAGTCGACACTAACCTCAGACTTGACCTTAATAGAAGCCATCTCATGGCAATCTTAAGGATCAGCTCGTAAAACAGGATCGTCTCTTGATAGATCAATTACTGCCCAGTGAATAACACTGGGACGTACAGATCAATACATATCACTCCCCAACACTAACTCTGGATTAGAAATTCAGCACTAAGCCCTTGGCTTATAATTAATTTAACCATGTTTATCATGTTTTATCTACATGTCCTCACAGACACTTACTCAAATTATCAATATCACCATACCCTATTTCTGTCACATCGACAAAGCTTGGCAATCAATTTGCAGGAAAATGATATCATCAACACAGTATGTGTGGAGAAGAATTTATCAATATGTCAATATATTGACTCTTCAGTGACAGTCCTGGCTTTTCTGTACTTGACAACTGACAGTCTGTTGTTACAGGCTACAGGTGAAAATAGCAGGTGCTTGACTGACTGACTGACTGACTGACTGACTGACTGACTGAGTCTGGTTTTACGCCGCTTTTAGCAATATTCCAGCTACATCACGGCGTGGGAACACCAGAAATGGGCTTCACATATTGTACCCATGTGGGGATTCAAACCCGGGTCTACGGCGTGACGAGCCAGCAGGTGCTTGAAGGAACAACACATTTATGATACATGACTCATCATGGACCCTCAGTTTTAAAAAGATGGGAACAGAACACTCATGCCTTTCATGGCACCAACAAAATTATTGATACTTTTTACTAGTATTTTACGCATATTAGGTGAATTGAGCCGCATCCAATCATGATCACTAGAGTTGAATATTTATGAATATTTTTTAAAAGTGTGATTTTCACTGGACCTAGTCTGATATTTATCACAGCGTGATACTCAAAATGGAATATATACAAGCCATACAGTAACATAACCACTGTCACTTTGCCAAGGTCCCTTAGGCTATAAACATCACTGTCGCAATGTATCGATTTTTCACCTCATAAAAATCATATCATCGAAATGTTTCAACTTACGCAAATACATATTTAATCTATCTAACTTAAAGTATTCATGAATAAATATTCATATTCATTTGCCTATAATCTTGAAATGTATCATATTTTCCTCATATGACACATTACTACTTCGATATGAACCAATACTTTGAATAGGTTATTGGAATAGTAACCATGGTAACAGTTACTTCCAAGGCTTACTTGGTAAAGATTGCCAAACTTAATTAACTCTTCCTATATATTTTTAATTTTAGGCAGATGGACTGGGTAGTCTTAACCTTACTTTTTTCATCCATTCACAGTCTCCTCAAAGACATTCAAGTTCTATGTTAACACATTCCCTACACTCATGCATATATCAAATTTAAAGCCCAAACTAAGTAATCTGTATTAATCCTGTTTAAAATCTAAAGTTATTATCTCCTGTTAATTCTCAAATCATGTTCCGCAAAATTTACCGTGACAAAATTAACCTACTGAGCTCCAGTACCTTACACTTCCCAGAGAGGAAGAAACAAGTATGCATGACAATAGTATTGAGAATGTGACAGCAGTTTTATCCATGTGTACAAGCAGGTGCCCTTGTTTCTGTTTAGATGAAACCTTGGTATTTACCCCAAGTCGACAGATACGATCAACGACACATTCCCATTGCCTGAACCTGCAGATCAATGTTACATAACTAACATTCCTGTGCTATGATCCGTCCCGAACAGTGTTTATAAATAAGACAACCACTACAAATCATTACACAAGATCACCTACCTCTTTCTCTCCATTCTACCTCCAAGGATCCAGCTGTCTCACAAATAAGGTTCAAGAATAAGTCCAAGGAATATAGTAGTTAAATCCAATATGTTGTCCACTTCTTGTGCCCTGATTGCGTCCAGAGACGCTGCTAGTTCTAAACAAGTATGGCTGCTCACTGATGATGAAGTTTGAACAAACAATTTGGGGGTGTAGGACAATGCCCAGATGTCCCCTACCGCCCTCTTGTGGCTAGCTCTCTCTGCTTGGAGGGAGGGCTATGAAGGCGGGCTACTATGGATGACACAAGCCACGGTATACATCACTCAACCCTCCAACTCCCACAGTTGACCTGCTCCTATACCTATGTCCACTCAAGCAACAGGTTACCTGTGCACCCTCCAGCCAAAATGAACTAATCCACAGGTCCAAAACAGTTCACAAAACAATCAACATAGACTGATCCAAATTGGGGGGAGATGGGGCATCCACTTGACTTGTGTAAGTCCAGTTTGTACAGCTTGAAGGTAATCAAATATGAACCCATGGAAAACAAACGACTTCTTACTCTCAGCCAAGCAATTTTCTCACAGAGAAGATACAAAGTTTTTCTCCTTAAACATCCGCCAACGTCCTTTTAAATAAACACAATTGCCTCTCCACAAACAAATGTGCACATAATAGAGTGCAAAACATTATAATCAGCTTGTAACCGAATCATGGCCAAGAAACATGATGCTTGCTTCGACAGCCGGGATTCTCATTCACACCCCACAGCATCAAGTGGTCAGTCTGGGAGGACAAGGACCAAACTAATAACGAGTCAATCGGTCTCCAGCCTATGGCCAAACAGGCTAAATCAGTCAATTACTTTCCACCATGGTACATCAAAGATCTGGTCTGACCATCCCCCGGACTACAATAGGCTTGGCCGAACTATGCACACACACTGTGACATACTGTGCGTGACATGGCAGGTGCCCCTGGTCACTTGTCTTGCAACAGCAACAGAAGCCATTGTACTTGTGTGCGGAGCTGAACAAGTCATATGAACAATATGCTATTACAGTTGCTCAGTCATGCATGGACTTGAATACCTGTTTTCAAATAGTAAGTTTGTTTTGTCATGATGAAGAGCTGAATGATTAATGACTTCTTACCCGAGTATAAATCACCCATAAAAGCTAATGGCTTTCTTCACATATACAGGTACACATTTCACAGGTACACGTTTTCAAGAAAAGAAAAACAAACATTAAAATTTGCAAACAGTTTACCGTAGGCAAATATCAATATGAACACTCACAACATATATATTTGTAAGTAAATGGTACATTAAGAGTGTTATGAATAACATATCACCAAGGGGACCTAAAAGTTCACAAAAAGCAAAAAGCCAACTTCAGTTACAAGCGAACAAACTGCCCCGCTTCTACTATTTAATCAACAAACTGTCACCCAGAATGGCCATTGTTTCAAAACAGGTGCCCTGCAAACATCCACCTGGTTGTTTATTTATTAGCCTGGATCATTCCACACATTCCCAGTGAGTCAAGGCTCGCCATGTCAAGGGGGCAGGGCAGGCAGAGGATCAAGTGACATCGTATTATCTGGCCTCCTATCCTATACCAGTGTTATACACCAGCATACTTACACAGTATAATTGTCAGAGATACGGAGAGGTCCCTCATGCCAACGATTGTCTCCTCCTAATGGAACCGGTACTGTAAGGTAGGATACACTGCATGATGTGTACTTATTTGTTTGAAATTTAGTAGCTTATGGCAGTGCAAGTGGTTTGACAGGATGTAGAAGTGAACCACTATGCTAATTGTTTATTGGTTGATAACGGAAGTATATTCAACGGAAGGATATCTTTTGAATTGTAAAAGTCATGATACCAATCACCATTACCGGTAGATTATTATGCATTACAGTCTCCAGTAAATGTCTTAATTTGCCCACCAAAAGAAAGACATAGCAGGTAAAATGCATTTAACCACAAAACATTTTGATCCAGTTCTGATCAAAATTGTACATTAAGCACAAAGATTAGTTTTGGGTACTAGCAAGATAAAACATACCAAATCCTGACATATGTTTGAGGCAGATTTGCATCCAGTTCCATTTCCTCAAAGCTGATGATAATTCTCCAAAGACTATATATATAATATCTCCCTAAACAAATCAATCATGGTCATATAGAGTTTTTCTTTTGGCTCACGAAGAGTCCTGTCCATAACATTTCATGAGTGAGTGAGTATGGTTTTGCGCCACTTTTAGCAATATTCCAGCAATGTCACAGCAGAGGAAACCAGAAATGGGCTTCACCTATTGTACCCATGTGGGGAATCGAACCCAAGTCTTCCGCCTGACGAGCGAACGCTTTAACCACTAGTCTACCCCACCACCCCCAACATTCCATGAATCAATGGGTAGTACTGTTACAGTTAGTCCTGGTGTTGAAACCTTAGTCCTCATTGGTTAAACTTTGAATACATGGCAGACTACCATTATCATAAGACAGTTAAACTTTGTGCAGGTCATTTGTTGCTATGTTATTGTTGAGCCGCTTGAGCGTATACATGTATTTTTTATGGATCACATGGTTATATGCATCTATTATTAATTCCTTCATGTTACCATGCTAACAACAGTTAAGATAATATTGTTCATGTACATAAATCATATAACAGTATTGATAATTCAGAACTAAGGAAATGGTATTCTGTTTCACATTTGGAAAGAGTTAGCTATGGGAGGAACTGTGCATGATTAGTAAAACAATATCGTTAGATCGATAAAATGAAAGCTACAGACTGTTTCATATTTGAAAAGTGCAAGTTATCAACAGAATAATTAGTTCAACACTATGGATGGGATATACTGTTTCATATTCAAAGAATCAATGCTAGCTGTGGCATAACTTGTTTACTAATCATGAACCCTTAAAACTTTACAAATCATATACTTCCTACAATCATTCTAAAAAAGAAGCATTCAGAACAAAACTGAAAAAATCATTTAAATAAATTCATGTTTTCGAAACTACTATCGTAGTCCTCTTGGCTTATCTCAGTCTTGATAGTCCCAGTCCCTTCCCACATCAAATCAGGACACGATCAATCTTATCATTTGACGTGAATGGGCATTAATGCCTCATGCAAAAAGGTATATAAAGAGCTTAGTTTCCATAGAAATACCAGCCTTACTCCCTTGCAGTAAGGTAATGCCACTAGCTCATCAACACATTAACACAGGTCCACGACCTGGGGTAGAAACAAACAACCTAATGATTTACAACACAACCCATCAGCAAGAAATGGGGAGGTAACTCAAGGTCGTGTCGTGTTGTGTCGAGTCGTTTAACTGCTGTAAATTCTGACCACAAAATGTGTCCCAAATATTCATTTGGTCCATAACATCAACAAATAATCCAATAAACCTTCAATGATTAATAGGGCCACTTGTCAAAAGGGGAGATAACTGCAAAAGTCAAAATGTAACCAGAGACTTGGAATTTAGGAAATGAATAATTTGTTTAAAAAGAACTGGCAAAAATAACTTTGCTCGAAGGAAGTGACAGAAAAGAGATTCTGACAAACAGAAATCCCCTGATGAGAACATTAGGATATAAGATATAACACTTTTAGACATGATAATGTTATAAGCATTAATATACACCAGTTGTACTGGTGTCCCCTGATGAGAACATTAGGATATAAGATATAATACTTTTACACATGATAATGTTATAAGCATTAATATACACCAGTTGTACTGGTGTCAGTGTTTGTTGATGAGACACTACTGGGCATTAACAGCAATCTCATACAGTTATGACAGTGCTAAATAGGATACACTTCAACTGCTAAGAAAGAAGCCATTCAATTCATGAAGGAAGACAAATTCTTAGGATTCCACAACACTGTACTACGGAGTGTCAGAGTATGACAGTGCAAGCAACCTACTCCATTACACAGAGGCTATCACAGTACACACACTAAAACCTAAACTGTCCCTTGTAACAACTTTACAATAACACTGGTGATCCGTATCCTTTGGGTGAAACTGTCTTGAGTAACAAATTTCTTATTCAACCAATCACATCGTTTTGTATAAAGTTCCCACCATCTCAACATATAATCTTGCTCCAAGGCTGTACTGAATGTAGTCTGTCTCACAGTCCCTGAACCACATTATTTTCCCTACTGCCAAGCCCTCTCTGCAGTGCTAAAACCTTAAATAAAGCAAGTCTAGATTTCCTCAGGTTCAGAATCTCTGGTCTCCCTGGGGCTCCTTTTCAATTTAAATGGGCGTGTTTGTTACTATCAAAATTATATATATTCAGAGACTAAGCATTAGTCTATACTTAATGCTGAGACCATGGATGTATAGTAATTCTATCCTTATCTAAGAGGTAAGTCTAGAGACCACAGTCTGCTATTTATTACTTTTTTAAGAAATTATCATTTAACCTATTAATTTTTACGTGAGAAGAATTTATTTCGGTATATAGGCCATTGGCCCGTGTACAATAAATGCAGAGTGGTATATGATATATAGACAATATGGTTTATACATATACATAGTCTCTTCTAACATTGGATAGAATTCCTTTTAGATAATATATGTTTAATAAATAATGAAATTTTTATAAGTAAATTCTTATCTTTGCATGACAACAACTTATGATATAATTTTTACGTTAGAGACTTGTGCAAGTCTACTCAACATCAAGTGGTCACTTTAAAATATATCATTTATCCAAAGACATTTTGAAATAATTTACTGATCTCAGCAATTGCAGAATCTTTATATGAATTTACACAATGAAAATAAGGAATAAAATCAATTTCTATTTGTCCAACTTTATTATCATGACATCTACCACCATCTCCTGATCAAGATATCTACCCTCTAAAGATAACTCAAGATATCAAGATATCTACTCTCCACCCCTCTCAAGATATCTACTACTCTCTCAAGATATCTACTCTCTCAAGATATCTACCCTCTCAAGATATCTACTCTCTCAAGATATCTACTCTCTCAAGATATCTACCCTCTCAAGATATCTACTCTCTCAAGATATCTACCCTCTCAAGATATCTATATCTACAAGATATCTCTCAAGATATCTGCCCTCTCAAGATATCTACCCTCTCAAGATATCAAGATCTATCTACTATCTCTCAAGATATCTACCCTCTCAAGATATCTACCCTCTCTCAAGATATCTACTACAAGATATTCTCTCAAGATATCTACGTTCTCAAGATATCTCAAGATATCAAGATATCTACTACTCTCAAGATATCAAGATATCTACCTCTCAAGATATCTACCTCTCTCAAGATATCTCTCAAGATCTACTCTCAAGAGATATCTACATTCTCAAGATATCTACTCTCTCAAGATATCTACCTCTCTCAAGATATCTACAAGATATCTACCTCTCTCCTCAAGATATATCTCTAGATATCTACATTCTCAAGATATCTACCCTCTCAAGATATCTACCCTCTCAAGATATCAAGATATCTACCCTCTCAAGATATCTACCCTCTCAAGATATCTACTCTCTCAAGATATCTACATTCTCAAGATATCTACTCTCTCAAGATATCTACTCTCTCAAGATATCTACCCTCTCAAGATATCAAGATATCTACCCTCTCAAGATATCTACCCTCTCAAGATATCTACCCTCTCAAGATATCTACCCTCTCAAGATATCTACTCTCTCAAGATATCTACCCTCTCAAGATATCAAGATATCTACCCTCTCAAGATATCTACCCTCTCAAGATATCTACTCTCTCAAGATATCTACCCTCTCAAGATATCTACCCTCTCAAGATATCTACCCTCTCAAGATATCTATTACCATTATCTCCTTTGAATACCAACTGACAGTAACAGCCATTGCCTCAGGCAAGCAAGCACATGTTCACTGTCACTTGGTACGAGTTGTAATTAATATCACAATCAAACTGCAGGCCATGCTGACCACATGTGTGTGTTGCATGGCAAGCAGAGACATTAAGCAGTGGCTGTCAAGTCTACTTGTCAGATGGGCTTGTTAAATCAATGTTAAGGACAACAAGTGTAATTCTATAATGTCAAAAAACAGCTGAGTATGTGAAATAACTGACATGTCAACAAACAATTTGTTACCTCAAAAACACCTTTTGATCAACAACATTGCTAATTCTCTGGGTCCTTCAAAGATGAAAGTGATGATTTCCCCGATGGATTCACTGATTTTGGACACATACATAAACTGGTTAAACATGTTAAAACTAACAAAAGGAACACCATTACTTGTGTCAACCAACTCCTTCCTGAGCCAGAAAGCCATTACAGCAAACAGCTATCATAAGGTACATATGGTACCATGATACTTCTAATAATATCAGCTTTTACTGTCTACTGAATTCCTTCCATCAACCAGTCTTAGAGCTTCTCCCACCAAGAGACCTGAGACTTCTTCCCAGTAAGCAGCCAACCAGCTCCTTCTGTCAAGAGATCCCAAGATTTTCTCCCACCAAGCAATCATAGAAGAGCTCCCTAAAATACATCCCACACCTGCCTCTCAAGAGAGTTACTCTGAGCAAGCTATCAAAGCATTATAATTATTTTAACAATGCACCATAATAAAAAAGTTTTGCCCTGCCCAGCACTAAAACCATATCGATCAATTACCATTAACCCAGTTGACTCCTGCC